TATATGATCTGTAACAACAGATTGTAACCGCTATTATATGGTCTGTAACAACAGATTGTAACCGGTATTATATGGTCTGTAACAACAGATTGTAACCGGTATTATATGATCTGTAACAACAGATTGTAACCGCTATTATATGGTCTGTAACAACAGACTGTAACCGGTATTATATGGTCTGTAACAACAGATTGTAACCGGTATTATATGATCTGTAACAACAGACTGTAACCGGTATTATATGGTCTGTAACAACAGATTGTAACCGCTATTATATGGTCTGTAACAACAGATTGTAACCGGTATTATATGGTCTGTAACAACATTTTCTTGCCTGAATACTTTCTCTCTGAAATTACATTTTTTTATCTGCCAATAGACAGGCAAGTAAAATTACAGCCCGGGTCGTTTACGCTTTCCTTTATCCGTCAATATGAAAAGTTTAAGTATTAAGAAATAAAACTCTTATAATAATAATAGAGCACGCCACAATATTGGTATACCGAGTAGATACCGTTAACTTGTGCCCCAAGAAATGAAGAAATAAAACCTGGCTTACGACGACTTTTATATGAATTTAAATCGTACATGATAATTTTAAATTTATCTAGAGCTTTTATAGATAATTATCCTAATAATATGTACTTGTAGTATCCAGTTTTATGTTGCGGTCTTATACCAAATATATATATATATTGTGTGTTTTTATTTGAGGTTAGAGGAGTAGGGGAATTAGAGGTGTTTTTAACCTTCCACTTCTGACTCTAAAACAAGATGGCCGTCGTTTGTTTAAGAAGTCATTATTATTATTTTTTGGATGTTTTACACCAATTTCGTGAGAACAAAGAAACCCTTAGTCATTCATACCAAACTTAATTCCAAACTGTTTTAATACGTAAAGTTGGTATGGAACTTTTAGATAAATATCATGTCAAAAATCTATTGGTGTTATTCATCAAGACATGAAGTTATCAGTCTCCGAAACTGATATCCCTAACGAAGACTTTTCTTACTAAAAATGAATTTAAACCATTTAAAACAATATAAAGGGTAAAAAGTAAACGTAGTAACAACAAATAGTATATTTCCGTTCGCTTGGTACTTGTTCACCCATCGTGGGTTTGGGGGGGACCGATTCCCCGCGGTGGGACATAGCAGAGAGAACAATGTGGTTCTGCCTTAAAAACTAACACAAACACACTTTTCTCTGTATTTAATGAAGATAACACATTTACGATTTGATAATACACATAAATACTGTACTGTACAGTATTGTATATTCATAAATATAGTGATTCAGTTTTATTTTTTCTAAGAATATCCTTTTTATGTTACTTTGAGTTCATCAAATTAGAATTTTAATGTAAGTTTTAAACAAACTAAGTTTAGATAGTTGAAGTTAATGTGGCTAGACGTTCACTCAGTAAAACATTTACATCCGCCAATCAGCGTTCTGCATATCCGGCTTCAAAAAATACAAAAATGTGTCCGTATGTTCGTCGTTATCAATTGGCAGGACAAGGAGGAATAATATTCTACAGATGTCCACCAGGTCTAATCAAAATCCGATCATTCCGACTGGGTTATAGAGCAAAAATAGTGTGGAAAATCGGTCCCCATGTTAACAGAGAGGATTTTATTTTCGTGACCTTGACTTTGACTCTCCAAAAATTAATTACTTCTAAAATGAGTCATAGTTCAAATGTATACCACACTTTGTCAAATTCCACTAAGCCGTTTTCGAGAACTCTTGCTGACAAACACACATATAACTTTCGTCCACCGAGGTAACAGTTGTCATGTCACTTAAAAACTAGTTAAGTTAGGTGCTTGAAACTTAAAAACCAGTTAAGTTAGGTGCTTGAAACTTAAAAACCAGTTAAGTTAGGTGCTTGAAACTTTAAAACTAGTTAAGTTAGGTGCTTGAAACTTTAAAACCAGTTAAGTTAGGTGCTTGAAACTTTAAAACTAGTTAAGTTAGGTGCTTGGAACTTAAAAACTAGTTAAGTTAAGTGCTTGAAACTTTGAAACTAATTAAGATTGTTACCTTAAGGGGAGTTTGGAAGGTATCTGATTAAGGTGTTTAAGATTGTTACCTTAAGGGGAGTTAGAAGGTATCTGATTGAGGTGTTTAAGATTGTTACCTTAAGGGGAGTTAGAAGGTATCTGATTGAGGTGTTTAAGATTGTTACCTTAAGGGGAGATTGGAAGGTATCTGATTGAGGTGTTTAAGATTGTTACCTTAAGGGGAGTTTGGAAGGTATCTGATTGAGGTGTTTAAAATTGTTACCTTAAAGGCAGTTAGAAAGTATCTGATTGAGGTGTTTACAATTGCTACCTTAAGGGGAGTTAGAAGGTATCTGATTCAGGTGTTTAAGATTGTTAAAGGAATTGATAGTGTTGATGCATCATCTTTTTTTTCATACTTATTATAAATTTCATACAATTATAAATGTTGGCAAGGTCACATTCATTAAAGACAACTTCATTTTACTAGTAGGGTGGATGGCTTTCAAAACAACACATTCCAAGGCCATAATTACCTGCATCTAAATTACCACACCTGCTGCATGCGTTGTTTTCAGGCGTGGTAATTTAGATGCAGGTAATTATGGCCTTCGGAATGTGTTGTTTTCAGATGTGGTAATTTAGACAAAGACTGGCTTTGATTAACTATTGCTGTTAATGTTTTATTTTAGATATTAGCATAGTGGATGGGAAAGCCTAAATGAACCAACAAGCCTTTTGTTTTAGCTTAAGTTACTTGTGTTCGTATGTATATGTAAGCATCTATTGGTGACCTATAAGTCATGGCGCCAGGTACAAACAGAGACAATTCGTCTTGACTTTCATAAGTTCTGTTTGATAATGTGTTAAACAATTGGGCTACTATTTAGATTAGTGACGGTTCATAAGTATGACCTGGTATTTTTCATTCTCCTATAACCCCCAACCTCTTAAGATCACTTTTAAAACATATATATGTCATCCAACCTACTTCTCCTACAAAGAGTAATTTTTCTCTATGCTTTTGTAATATTTATCAGCAATCTCTCCCGTGTCACTTCCACATGCGAGCAGGCCTATTCTGGGTCGCGAGTCTCAGGACGGCGTGGTACAGTTAATTCAGGTGAAACTGAACGGATAACGCACGACTTCCGGCTTCGGTAGACAACGGCGAATTTACGCCGATATAAATAGACCCGGCAACAGAGTAGCACCACAATCTGAGATTTTCCTGCAGTGAAGTTGTAAGCTCTAGCTTAGATCAAACCTTAGAACACAATGAAAACAGCAGTAAGTATCTAACCCGGTCGAATACATTCAATATAGTCTAAGCATTAAAGGTTTTCTGGTGTTCTGGTTTATAACATGATGAATTGTTCTATTCAGCTTGTTATAGAGGACTGTATATGTTACTTCAAAATATTCTTAAGCCTTATTTGTACAGTTCGCTTACTTTAATTACAATTTGTTAATAATATATATATACTAACTGTAAGCTTCTGTGCATTACTGTAAGAAAAACTGTGACATGTAAAATAATGTCTCACAGGTTAGAAAAATGTAAAATAAGGTCTCACACATGTAAAATAAGGCCTCACAAATTAGAAAAATGATTTATTATTTATGTCATAACGCTTATAATTCTGACCGGAAATGACATCACTCAAACAGGAAATAAAGTCAATTTTTATATAATTTTACAGCTTGAAGTATCATTCTGGTGGAAACATTTAATTATTTGTTGTTAACTCTATTTTCTGCTAACATAACTTGAGTTTCTGGGAACAGTTACTGTATAGTGTCTCAAGGAAAGAACTCTAGATATATTCGCTGTTTCTACTTTTACTCAACAGGTGGCTCTTCTTACACTTTTTGCCATGATTGCTGCGCAATTTGTGGATACGTTGGTTACGGTTACCCTTCTGTAGGATATAGGGGTGGATACGGTTACCCCTATAGAGGCTATGGCCATGGTGGCGGATACGGACGCCAGAGATTCCAAACCCCATATTTTGGTTATGATATAAGTTATCCTACATATGGGTATGCTGCCCCATATCATGGGTATGGTTACGGACATGGATATGGTTACCACTAAAATCTACATACAACCAGGGTAGAAATATTGAGGTAAGTTGAAAACATTCAAATTTTTTTGTTACACCCAAAAAACGTTGCTATCTTCAGAGAACTAAAGATTGGTTAAATCTTCCAAACAAAAATTAAACAATAATTGTAATATTGATCGGTAATACTACGATTGCTTTTCATAGTTTTTAATTAACAATTGATTTTTAGTTTCTAATTATTACATTTTTTTTTTTTTTTTACAAATTAAGTTTTTATATTTTATTAAATTTACCATAGATGGCGGTTTCTTCAATGTCACGAGCTAGGAGAGACGACCAATGCCCTGCGTAGTGCAGCCTCGTTTCTCCCGGTGTTCTCATTCTTCATGCTTTGTTCTATATAATCCTGACGTCAGTGGATCACAATCTCTTTATGTAATCTTTATGTTGTAATAAATATTTCCTGTCTCAAAACAACAGAGATTTTATTTGTATGGATTTCACGATAGCCAGTATCACTAGACCAATGTTTGATGGGTTTCTCAGGTTTCAGAGGAAACAATGAAATGAAACCGATTTTTACGGATTTCGTTGATTTCTATGCTAACTGTTGGGACACTTTAAACAACCACAGAAACGACGATAAAATAAATACTGTATTCACAAAGGAAAGTTAGAACATTTTAAACAACCACAGAAACGACAGTAAAATAAATACTGTATTCACAAAGGAATGTTGGAACACTTTAAACAACCACAGAAACGACGATAAAATAAATACTGTATTCACAAAGGAATGTTGGAACACTTTAAACAACCACAGAAACGACGATAAAATAAACATGTATTCACAAAGGAATGTTGGAACACTTTAAACAACCACAGAAACGACAACAAAATAAATACTGTATTCACAAAGGAATGTTGGAATACTTTAAACAACCACAGAAACGTCGATAAAATAAATACTGTATTCACAAAGGAAAGTTGGAACACTTCAAACAACCACACAAATGACAATAAAATCAACACTGTATTCACAAAGGAATGTTGGAACACTTTAAACAACCACAGAAACGACGGTAAAATAAATACTGTATTCACAAAGGAATGTTGGAGCACTTTAAACAACCACACAAACAACGGTAAAATAAATACTGTATTCACAAAGGAAAGTTAGAACATTTTAAACAATCACAGAAACGACGATAAAATAAACACTGTATTCACAAGGGAAAGTTGGACGAACAGCACAAGAAGATGGACATCTAAGAAATTATAGCTAATCAATACAAAGATAGCTTAAGTTGATGAGTTATCAAAGTGGACGAGAGTGGACTGTAACCTTTAGATACTGGTGTAAAGTAGCGAGAGTCGCCTGTAACCTCTTTAGGTATTGGTGTAAAGTGGACGAAAGTGGACTAGGACCTTTAGGTTCTGGCGTAAACGGACTGTAACTTTTAGGTACTGGTGTAAAATGGTCGAGAGTGGACTTCACTGTCATCCAAACTTCTGAGGGAATAAAACACCGAATCTTATGGACGTTAAGTAAAACAATTTGTTTGTTATTAAATACACAATATTTACTCTGCCTACCGCGTGTATCGAAATCTTAAATGGAGAGTTGTAAGCTGTTACACTGAACTTTGACCCGAAGAAAGCAAGTAAACGAAAGTTTGATATTTAAGAAATATCGCGCATAACGAATATTTTCCTGTTAATATTATACTTTTTTCATTTATTGCAAAAATTTATTTTTAATTGACATTATTATTCAATTTCTATTTTTAATTGACGTTATTATTTATTTTTTATTTTTAATTGACATTATTATTCAATTTCTATTTTTAATTGACGATATTATTTTTTTCAATTGACATTATTAATTAATTTTTATTTTTAATTGACATTAGTATTTAATTTTTATTTTTAATTGACATTATTATTAAGTTTTTATTTTTAATTGACATTATTATTTAATTTTTATATTTAATTGACATTAGTATTCAATTTTTATTTTTATTTGACATTACTATTCAATTTTTATTATTAATTTATATTATTATTCACTTTTTATTTTTAATTCACATTATTATTTTATTTTTATATTTAATTCACATTATTATTCAATTTTTATATTTAAGTCACATTATTATTCAATTTTTAATTTTAATTGACATTATTATTCAATTTTTATTTTTAATTCACATTATTATTCAATTTTTAATTTTAATTGACATTATTATTCAATTTTTAATTTTAATTGACATTATTATTCAATTTTTATATTTAATTTTAATTGACATTATTATTCAATTTTTAATTTTAATTGACATTATTATTCAATTTTTCCACCAAAGGAGATACGCTTTATTATTGATTTATCTTTAATGATCTATTTTATCATTCATACTTCTCTTATCTTTGTATCTTGTCAATAGCCTATCAGCTCTCTACTGGCTGCATAGAATAATCATTAGGTTAGGCGTGGTGCGAGTGGGTTATAACTCTCATAACTGCTTTTCAATTTGTATTTGTATTTAATTCCACTTGTGAGGCGTGAAAATAGATGTTCAATCTGATAACTAGTGTGTAAACACCAGTGTGTGTGGGTCCTAGTTTTACAAGTACCCCTCCCACCAGGTTATTTTATTGTACTCGCTCTGACAGTTTGGGGAACGTTCCTTGCTTTTGAACTGTGGATTAATTATTCGTATCAATTTACATAATGTTCAGATTTACCACACGTTATGTTGTTAACTTTTCAGTATGATTCTCATTACAGACTGTGTGTGTGTGACAAAAAGATTCATGTGATCAGGTAGGTTAGTAACAAAATGGTTAGTTTTTGGTATTAAGCGCAATAGGATATTTGTGATTTACCGGTAATCCACGCTTATCAAAATCCAATTTTCAGCTTTATACGTCGACAGGCTTACCGATTAACCACCTGGTGACGACAAAATGACTCATAATGTGTTTTTTGTTTTTCAAAAACAGAGGAAAAATAACCAAATTTCCTGGCAACAGTTATCTTTTCGAACGCTTAATTTAATAAAAATTAAATTGTTTTCAACAATACTATATTATAAAACAAATATTCATTAATCAAATATTTTTATAAAACGTCACGACTACTTTATTTGGCAGTGCTATAACATCCTACCTGAAATCATGAATTCATCGTTGAAATATAACTTACATCATAACATAAAAGCATCTATCAGCAGAAAATCTACAATAACCAATTACTGCACTTAATTATGAGAAACATGGAATCACAAAACGTTTTTATGGCCTTTAAACAACGATAAGTTTACAGAATTACTGTGCTAAAATCAGAGGCTCGATTCCCAGCGATGGACACAGCAGACAGCCCATTTGACCACTCTGCCTCAGGCCAATTGTTTTCGGGTACATCTAAAATCTTTTGGTTTTGTTGTAGCGCAAATCTGCACAAGAAACCGTCTGCGTGCGATCCACCACGGGAATCTAACCCGAGATTTTAGCGTTGTAGGTTCGTCAATTTACCGCTGACCGGTTGGAGAACCATCTAAAAAGCAGCTTACAACTACTAACAGTAAAACGCTTTTTCCAAAACTATGTGAATCGCCGTTACACCAAACATGCTCGCCCTTTCAGCCGTGGGGGCGTTATAATGTGACGGTCAATCCCACTATTCGTTGGTAAAAGAGTAGCCCAAGAGTTGGCGGTGGGTGGTGATGACTAGTTGCCTTGCCTCTAGTCTTACACTGCTAAATTAGGGACGGCTAGCGCAGATAGCCCTCGTGTAGCTTTGCGCGAAATTCAAAAACAAACAAACTAAAACTATGTAAAGAAGTTTGTCACAAATTATCTTACGATTTATTACCTAGAAACTAAACGTCCGATTTAGTTAAAGGTATTACATATTATATATACCGAAATCTCGTTTCAATCTCGTCTGACAACATCTCTAAATGCTAGAAACTGATTTTATCTGTTAAACTGGATATTATCCCTAATTTCAGATGTCGTGGGTTGGTTTTAAATTATTATTTCAGTTCATTATTGTACAGCTAAGAAATATAATTATCTGCTCTTTGTTTGCTGTTGTTTTAACTATTGTTTTAATCATTTAGGGGGCTTTTTTTGGGAGGAGAATCTTTGGCTATTTATCTTGGTATTTTGTATGAAAATTCCGCTTGAACATTTTTTTTTAATTTGATGACACTATGAAATACTTTCTGTAACCCTAAGGTAATTATAACTATTAATTAAGCTTTTAAAGGCTGAAAAATATATATATCGTTTAAACTCAAGTGCCTGACATGGCCTGGTGGTTAGGGTTCGAGTCCCATTCCCGAACATGCTCACCTTTTCAATCGTGGAGGCGTTATAATGTGACTATCAATTCCACTATTCGTTGCTATTCGGCGGATGGTGTTGAACAACTGTATTTCCTCTAATCTATCATTTCAAAAATAGGGACGGCTGGCACAAATAACTCTCTAGCCACGTGGCATGAACATTGAAGTAACAAACAAACATCTGACACGCCTCTAACCATCGTTCTCACATCCAGACTTCTGGGTGATGGACAAATCACAAGAAACAAACAAACATCTGACACGCCTCTAACCATTGTTTTCACATCCAGACTTCTGGGTGATGGACAAATCACAAGAAACAAACAAACATCTGACACGCCTCTAACCATTGTTTTCACATCCAGACTTCTGGGTGATGGACAAATCACAAGAAACAAACAAACATCTGACACGCCTCTAACCATCGTTCTCACATCCAGACTTCTGAGTGATGGACAAATCACAACTGCTTTGAGAACTCTTTTGTCTCATTTATATTTTTTTCTAAATATATGTGTGAAACGAATTGGTGACGTAAACACACGCCAGTGTTCAAGAAATTTGTTTTTTATTTCACCGCAGTTACGGTCATCTAATATTCTGTTTGCGAGTTTTATTATTTTGTGAAAAAGTAAAGAAAGTCCAGATATATTTGGTTGCTATTTTCTTACAAGATATTCTTCTCTCGGTTATAACCGGGTTTCTAAACACCAACAATCTAAAGTTAAATGTTAAAAACTACTGGATAGTCGTCTCGAAGTTTAAAGTCATAGACTAGAGGGAAGGCAGCTGGTCAACACCACCCGCCGTCAACTCTTGGATTACTCTTTTACCAACGAATAGTGGCATTGACCGTCACATTATGACGCCTCCACGTCTGAAAGGATCAGTATGAAGGGGATGGGATTCGAACCTATGACCTTCAAATTCCTCTAACCACTAAGTCACGCTAGGCCTAACAAGAGTCTTATGTCTCTTAGTGCAAGTCGAAAAGATGAGCAATGAATATTTTTTTCCTGCGGAACTCGGTTAAATGTCATATTTTTTTTTTT